TGTCTTCTGTCTGAATGAAAGACGCGATCCCAAACTTTGTCATCTTCTTCACATGTTTACAAAAAGAGTAGACATAATAAGCCAGTACTTTGGCCTACATTTGTTGGGTTAATCATTTTATTTTAAATAACCAAATGTAGTAAGCATTCATGCCTTCATGTATATTTCGTTTTAAAGCAAATATAGTTTTATAGAAAATAAAAGGCATAAAAGAGAGATTTCTGAACCATCTGCAGAAGTATGAGCTGGAACAAAGCGGCTGCAGACAGAGAACAGCATGTGTGCATACCATAGATGCTGTTTGTCTTGAAAGTAAACAAAGCACGGCTATTCAACTTTCATTTGCCTAAGGGATGTTTTTCAACTGTAAAGGGTCTCTGAATGCTGATCAGAACTTTTAAAAAGTGTTATGATAGTTTTATACCCCAGCTCAGATCTTTAAGCGCAAAAGTTATTCTCTAAAAATTACTACTTCTTGTATTAACTATTTCTAAAGTATCTTGTTTCAGTGCTCCCTTGTTTTTTTGTGTTTGCACCACTGATGTTTCCTCACTGTGGGATAAATAGGATTAATACAGGTTTTTTCTTTTGTCTATCTCACCGGATTGTGTGTTTAAGCTTTGTGTTGTTGTGTGACCATGTTCATTGTGTACAGTATGGGCACCATTTATGTTGCCACTTATTATATTTGTTTTATTAATAGTTAATTTAATAATTTCCTGTGATTTTTACCTCACTGTAATATAATGTTTTTATCTCCTGATGCTGCTCAAATAAAAGCCCCCTGCAGGGATCCATAAAGTTGTCTTTTCTATGATCAACATTTGATCTCTTTTAATCACGACTTTTCAACTGTATCTTCTCTCTTGTCGACCCTTTTCAACCAAACTATTACTCAAGGCTGAACTACGTGTGAACTATTACTAACTAGATTTATTCAATGCCTAACCAAGTAGACAATATCTACTGGGTATAAGCCTAAACCAGGACAAAACTTGTAAAGAACAAAAAAAAATTAGATATACTTTTGGCATACATACATACGTACTATTGGGGATGTGTGGCAATTGATTAGAGACACATTTCTTTGGTAATTTCCTTCATAATTTTGATCTCAGATGGTGCGGAAGCAGAGGCACAGACTTATCTCAATGAGAAAAAGGAAATGAGAAAGCAAGAAGCTCATGCTGATAAGTGACATATAGGGAAATAGGAATCACTACAGCAGTTGTCTACCTTGGAGGACTTTACAAAGTTGTCAATTGGCAAACAACAGATCACAGAATCAAACGATTCTAACTTTACCGGGATGACCAATGCTCATGAAAGTTAATAAATGTGTATTAATGCGTTAATAATTTATTATTACAGTTGGATTACAATCTTCCATCCATCCATTTATATTAAAACTAAGGGCCAAACAGTTCAGTCTGTATCCATATTCCTCAACAAGTCTCCCGCAAGGATGTCCTCTGATCACTTTTGAGGATGTCTCCTTGGGGTTGTGGGGGTGGGATTGTGGAGACAGAGACGGGAAGTCAAACAGGATGTTCATAAAGAACACAAATGTTAGTGGTGGGACAAGAGAACAATGCTGTGATTAACAAACTGTTTATATTTTATCTCCGCACAACTTTCACCACCCTGAAGGCCTGCATTCCTTTTACACTACGTTCTTTTTTACATTCCAATTTTCTTGTAATCACTCAGTTCCAGTTTGGGAAATCATCTCATTCTACTTTTCATCTTTCTGTAATTTTGTTGTTGTTGCCGTTTGTCATTTTCACTCCAAAATGAAATTCCTATTGACTTGATTATGGTTCCATAAACTTCTGCCTTAAAAATGCACACGTAATTAATCACCTGGCATTTAATTGTGATGCAACAACACTCTTTAGTAGGCTACACTAAAGCTAGTTACCGTAGCAATACACTGTATACTTGACGGCAGTTAGCATTAAGAAGCCCTTAACAAACTGTGTTGCTGTATGTTATATATATGTAAGTTATCAATCAGTTTGGGCTAATCAAAGATTTGTTTTGTCTTGTCTGTCTGTATGTTTTAAATTGGACCTAAAGTCTGTAATAAAGTTGAATTGAATTTTAAAAACCTATAAATTGCCACATTTTAATTAAAGTAGACAAAAAAACTGATTCAAATTGCTTTTTCAGAATTCTGAGGGTCCTGGCGTTAATGGATTAATTTGTTCAAATGTGCTCCTGTGTGCACTTAACCAATCAATAACTCTGTACAATCGAAGTTTCCTAATGGTCCATATGAAACACCAAGTTAAATGCAGCTCTTGAAACAAATTAACCGGATGTCTGGTCTTATTTAGAAGCAAGATGCGCAAGTGAATTGCTGAACTCATCTATACGTGACAATACTCTAAATTACTCCATGTTAAAATGACTTTATTAGTTTGGATCCCTTTCAAACTTCAATAACACTGCCAGTGACCTTACAGGCAGCGTCCGTGCCAGGTGTGATTCTCTCTTGTACAGACTCCTTCATTGTGGCGGTGGGCTGTCGGAACACACTCTTGTCACTATGATGAACAGTTGGCTGACTCATTCCTAGTATATTATAACAGGCGACAGGTCAGCGGCTGAAGCACAAGCTCAAATGAAAGATGGAAAACGGACAAAGGTGCTGCAGGAGTTTTATGTGAAGTCATGGGGCCGTGCAGCAGACAGTTGAGTAATAAAGGCAAGATAAATACTTAATATGAGTCCAGAGAGTATTGGCATCTCATGTGACAGAGCTTCTAACAGCACTAATCATTTATTTTTGAAACAGGCTGCTGTAGACCTGCTGTGTCTTTAAATCATTCATGGCACACCCCATACACCGCTTGGTATTGGACAATACATCTAAGTTTTCTCTTGGGATACAGCGTTTTCTTGTTTGCTCACGACATGGAACAGATGAGACATTTACTTTGAGATATGAGGGGTACAGTCGAAATGACACTCAGTCGGTGTAAAGCATTTGTTTTTACCCAGAGCAGGTTTGAATGTATTGTCCGACACCTATTTATTCAACCTTAGCACTGAAGGTAAACAGCTGTGGCCACAGTAAGAGTTTCAGCTTGCAGCCTACATGCATACCTGATTAGATGTAAAGAAAACCATGTCTTTGTGTTTATTGTACAGAAATTTATAGAAACGTAAAGATATTTAGTCTGCTTGCAACAAACCTATTCATGTTTTCAATGAAAGCAGACGTACGGCAGACATATTGTTCTACTACTTCCTCTAATTACCATTTCATTTTATGTTTTATCTGCCCATTCACCCGTCACCTCATTGATCACACAGGAGATTCATGTATTGGATGACGGGGTAGCTGTAGTGCCGTGAGTAACCCCACTAGCCATGGGGTATGCACACTAAAAGACTATTGTAATGTGCAGGATCAAACCAGTGATGCCTTTGTAGTGAGGCATGAGTTACCTGTACCGTTCTATGTTCATGCCAATCAGCCTCCGTAGTCCATTGTTTTTGAGCTGAAAAAATCCATTATGATGCTGTCATCAATCAATTTATCAACACACAAAATGACCTGCAGCAGAAAGGGCATCTTAAAGCTGGGTTATCTAACTTTTCTTTTTCTTAAATATTTTCTTTTTTAAGAAAAGTCTTGTAAAAGTAAAAATTATGTGAACAAATAATAGTACAGCATTCTCTATTCATCAAGAATTGGATTTTAATTTATGTTATGCTCTCTCTTTGTTTTTTTAATGTTGTTGTTGTTTGAAAGCTGGTACCCTAGCTTTGCATAGGGCCATAGATTGTTGGTCAGTCTACTCTAAACTGACCTGTGCTGGCTTGTTTACTGGCTTGTTTATCTAAATGGAGAATCGTCACACTTTGCCGGTGACACATTCAAAAACAGCTGTACATTGTTGCGTTTACTTACATTTCTTGTAAAGGCTTCAAATTTGACCATGTTACAATATTTGGATTTGCGGTAAAACAAAAAAATCAACTCATCCGCCTGATGGTTGCACAGCGAGTTGGAAGTTATATATATATATATTTTAGCCTAGCCTTGTTTCCCCATATATTCTCTATTTAAGATATCATTTCACATTCTAAAACATCCATCCATTTTCTTCCCCTTAATCCATTTCTGAGTGGGGGGGCAGTCAGAGCTACACCCAGTACACAGAGCACCAGCCCCTCACTGATCCTCCTGCAGGTGGTGAGCCTTGATTATTCAGCGGAAGGTTCAGGCAAAGTGGGGTTACGTGTCTTGCCTAAGGACACAACAACAGCAGTCATCAGTGGGACTCGAGAAATAGGTCTTGTGGTGGGCTCGAACCCACAACCTTCAGGCTCTAAGGCCAATGCTCTACCACAACTGAGCCACTGTCGCCCATTCTAAACAATGTTGTGTTTTCTTTTAATTTGCTTTTAAAGGCTTCAAACCATGTTACAATTTTGGTAATTGTGGGTAAAAACAAAACAAAAAAACAATAGACTCATCCCCTGGTGGTAGCATAGGGAGTTACACACATTTTTTATTTTTTATTTTTTTTTACCCTTCATAGCCTTGTTTCACCATATTGTTATTCTATTCGAGATATTATTTCACATTCTAAAACATGAGACGACCTAATTTTCATTATAATGGCCAACAATAACAATAACGTAACGCCCGCCAATATTTGATTTTGTGGTTGTGATGTGGGCGGGGCTTACTCGCTCGGCTCGCCTGCTGTCGACTCTCTCTCTCGGGCTCGGTGAGACTGCTGTGGCGGGCTATGGGGCTGGATGAGCGGCTGCGGTGCTGGTCCACAGAGCCCGGGTGCTCTATGGTGTGACCCTCTCTCTCGCCTGTTGAGTCCGCCGTGGAAGAGGATCGTGTTTCGGGAGCAATTGGCGATAATCCGCTGGACGACTGCGAAGCGAGAAGTGCAGCTTGAATATGCCCTGTGCTCGGACTCTGCAGACAAGTTTGATCGAGGATTATACGCTCACATACAGGATCAAACATGGTAAATATAAATTGTTGCATCACTAGCTTGCTTAACATCCTTGCTGTCTGTCGCAGTGGTTTTTAAGTGGACATGATGGTTCACACATCGATGTTCTGTGGTGGTCAAGCTCAAGTCTGCCTGAATTATGTATTACCTTCTTAGATGATGTGTGGTGTGTGGGTAGAACCTTCAAAAGTTGATGTGTGTGTGTTCAAGCCGATCTGAGACTGCACAGAAACAGCTGGTATGTGCTCATGTGAACGAGTCACAACTTGTTTTGATTCCTCACAGTTCCATATTTCCAACCTGATGGAACAGATTTTAATAGAATCTCATAAACCAGTGATGTCTGCGTATAATGCTCCTTTTATGAAGTATATTTCCGTAGGCTGTTTTTTTCTTCAAAGATAATCTACAGAATCTGTCCAGGATTACTCAAAATGAACTCATTCGCTTTGCATTGGAATGGGGTGTAAACCAGTCTACAAAGTGAGGCTACAAATCACGTTAACGTCACCTCATGTGTAAACTCTCACCCCAATACTTTCTGGAGTATTCCAGATGACCTTGCATTACAATGTTATTATTTTTCAATAGACTTTATTATGCCCACTGTTGGCTCAGCACATTTTGTGCCCATGGCAATCTGAAGCAGGTTTGACTCTGTGCTTTTGTTTTTTCTTTTCTTTCGCTGTAAGTGTATGTAACATGGAGGTATTACTGCCCAATCACAGGTTGCTACTGTACTAAGAAGTAATACATTGCGAATGCCATGCATTCTGCTTACTGTCCTTTATTGCTCTACACATGCAGAATGTGCTGCTGTGTACTCCACATTTCTGACAAAACATTATTGATTGTAGTGTGTTAGCGATGGTTGTTTTATTATCACTATTACTATTCATATTTCATATTACCTTAATATTACCATTTTTCTTAATGTTCATAATAGATGTAGCTGCTTCTTGCCTCAGTCCATGATGGATGGAATCAGTGGTTTGTGCCAACTGACAGCCTCGTGCACTAATGTTGACACATGCAGGTGATGACGAGGATAAATACCATGCAGCTACTTCAGTTTACCTTATCAATGTTGTTAAACATTTTCCTGTGTGATAATGTACCATATACTTTGCTCGAACGCTTTTAGAGAGACTATTGCTTTTCACATTCACTGTTCAGCATGAATTTGACATAACTGCAAGATTGTTATCCAAGGCCATTTGATCGTTCTGGACAAAAGGCAACAATAGGAGTGGCACAGGGAGCAAAGGTCATCCAGAGTTTGTGAAAACACTTACGATGCAGATAGCGCCTATGTTCACCAGAAAATGTGTATAGTAATTGCCCTAATGTAACTTCAAGGAAGAAAATCCAAAGCAAAAACAACATCTTAATTGAACCAAAATCAGTTTTGGTTTGCATGCTTCAATAAAAATCTATTTTGTAATATGTTATACTGTATCACATTACAGTTTTGTCTGAATTTATTTGATTGAGAGATTGTTTCTGGGGCCGGCTTCTTTTACTTATCGTTTTTCAGTTGTCATCTTATCCACGGGTGTCAGAATGATTCAAGAGCTCATAACTAAATGTATGATTTAGACCAGAAAAAGGCTCCTCCAAATGCAGCATGAAACAGCAGGCTGAATCTTGTGGATGATTTTTGATTCATCTTGTTTTTTCTGGTTTGAGTGAGTTTTTATGAAGCTGCATGAGCCAGACTTCTGACAAATGTGATCAAACATGGCCACGCTCTTTCTGATCCCTCCTGTTGGGCTGAACTCTGGATTGCTTTGGATTTTTCTCAAAATATAAGAACCAAGAACCAACAGGGATGCATAAAGAGAAGCAAGTGATTTTCTCTCTGATGAATGATTTACGATATATGTTTTTAAGTGAGCTTGCATGAATCATAACAACTTTTGAGACTTACATTGATTAGACAACACGATAAAATCAAACCATAGTTCTTGATGGTGTATTGTTGTAAAGCAAAAAGAAGGAATTTCCCACTGAGAAAAAAGTTGTTCTAGCTTAAAACAAGACAATAGGGATTAAGTTCCATTGACAAATATTCATTCAAAGTGGGCTACTATCAATGTACGTTTTCCTCAGGTTATTCATTTTCTTTGCATGCAGTTTGCTAAATGCATCCGCTAAAATATCAATTTTGATTCGATTTGCACTTACTCTCGTTGCCCAACGAGTGCAATTATTCACACAAACTGCATACTTTGTTCTTGAGAGTAATAATAACTATTAAACAGTGATTACTTTATTGTACGTCCTTAATATAATCATTATTTGCAAATATGTTTTCAAATTGTGCACTTGCAGCCAATGATTTTCTACAGGCAGCTTTAAAGATGAAAGACAACAATCCTGTTTCGTCAGCAGGCCCTTTCCAATACAATGTGCCTCCACAGACAATGAACTGTTGAATAGGCGCTGACCAATGTGGCACTCGCATCAATGCTTCTTACGACAGCTTTACTCAATCACATCTGTTGTCAGGGGCAACTGGAGGAATCTTTCTTCTCTTTACAGGGGTTGAATTAATGACCCTTGAGGTAGCGGTAAATTGTGGGGACTGGAGAATATAATAGAGTAAGGTTGCACAAAATTATAAATGTATCTTAATTGTAATATTTCTGCTATTTGCAATTAATAGAGCAGCCCCATAATACAGCTCTAAAGATTTCTTTAACATATGCATTTTACACAGTATTTTTTATTTGAGATAAACAACTAGTTTTGATAACTATATTACAACTAGTTTTAAATTGTGAATTAGTGAATTCACTGATGAATAACCAATATTCATCTAATATTGCTATCAGTGATGTGTAGGCGTAAGCACTACTATATTTCTCACTGCTTTTGGATTAGGCATTGAGGGGTATAAGCTGACAGGAGATATGCACTCACCACGGGAGTAGCTCCGGATTAAGCAATGAGCAAATAATCTGCCAATCGAAAATACACAAACAGGTCATTCACTACGTGTGAGGCAGAAAAGTTGGATAAAAGACTAATTTAAATCGTTGTATTAATGTAAACTCGTACACTTGGACTGTGGTTGCACATCAATGTAAGCAAACAGGTAATCGCACGTTGTCATTTTCCCGATGTTTCAACAGGATAAGAAACTAATATTAAATGCTAAGCTAATATTACATGTGTAGTTGGATGTGGTCCAAATTATTACTCTACTGTCCATGTAGTGAAAGTAAAGATGACACTGGAAAAACGCTCACTTGCGCTACAGAATCAGACTGAATATAACTTTCAGTTCTGCATGTCTGAAAATCAATGTAGTAGCGTCCATGTTCGATGGGAATGATGATTGATATCTTAAAAAAGATCCAATGAAGCAGCAGCAGTTTTTATTTGATTTCGTTAAAAGTTAAGATATAAAGACTACTATACTCGTCAGTCAACTCCCATACATGTTTTTCTGTAATGTTTTCAGTGTTTCAATACTTCAAATGAGTCAATTACTTGTGTTAAAAGAAATGTCACTGTGTCTTGGTATTTATTTTATTGTCACTTTACCGAGAAGACACGTTTTAGTACACTGCATTTGGTGCAGCTGAAGTCTTCCTCTTTTCAAATGAGATTGCTCCATGTCCTGAGGTGTTGCTGTCAGTCTGTAACCCATGTCATTGTGATTGTTGTGTAGTGTGTAGTACAAAGGGGCTGGATCCTATTTCACTGAAGTCTCTTCTCAAATGATTTAAAATGTGACTTGAATAGAATGTTGTTCCAACATTTCCATGAGTGTGTCAATTTGAAATGAAATCACTTCATGTGCTGTGTTTTTTGTTATATATCCTTTTACTAAAACAGAGCTTCAATTCTAGTGCAGGCTAACCTACATTCCAGTCTGTGCTGATTCATGGCCCACACACAACAGCCAGGACTCTGTCTAGTCTGTCTGTGGAGGTGTATGCGAACTGCAGGGACCAAAGCTGGGATATGTTTCACTATTCATGTGTACTATCTAGTTCAGTTTTGCATTCAGGCCAGGATCTGCACAGAGTCACACAAGGGCTATGTGGAGCACAGCAATTGCCGGACTATTAGGTGCTACTTTTTTCATGTTCTTTAAACTCTGCAGTCTATATAGTGATGCAACCATTTTGGAGACAGCTCTGTCAGCTCTGTTTATGTGAACAGCAGAGAGTCGACACAAATAAATGCACCAAATGCACAGGATATGATTTGGGCTGTTGTCAGAGCAGGTAGCTATAGGACGCATGTTTATTGTCAAAATAGATGAACAATAAATGTCAAACGTCAGCTTTGATCATAACAAGTCAACAGTGTAGTTTAAATCTTGTTGTGTGTGTCCATTTAAAACAGTCGTCTATCGGCTTTGTTGTCAACTGTTGGTCACATTACAACAATAAAATATGCGGCTTATATTCAAGCGCGGTCTACAATGTGTACTTTATTTTCAAATGTGGTGGTTCATAGTGAGGTGCGCTTATAAAGTCTAGCAGGTACTGTAAGCAATGGTTCATTATGCCTATTTGATATCCATAATTTGGGAATAAAATTTTTGCTTAAAATGTCTAAATTATATAATTAACTATTTACAAGCTGAGGATGACTTTTTTATTAAATAGATAACATACATTTGTCCCTACAGAAAGTTAAATGTTGTGATTGTGAACAAATCAAACCATAACATGTTGTCTTCGTCTCATTAGAAACTTATTTTGCACGCTTGTAGGAATGAGCCCTGTGAGTTTCTATTTGATGCTTTGAGCCGAGAGCTGATCATCTGAAGTAGCATGGTCTTTTTGTCTTTTATGTCTGAAAAAAAGTGGTCTAAACGAGGTTAAAATGCACGTAGAGTATGTAATAAAAACTAGTGATACAACCAAACTGCGAGTAACTAATTGAATTCTCTTCAATGGTTCAGTGTTGGCTTCATTGTTGATATGCTGCCTGGAAACATGACTTTGGACGACTGTCCATCCATCCATCCATTTTCTACCCTTTAATCC